ACTAAAATGGCCCCCACAGTCACCAGATCTCAACCCAATAGAGCATCTTTGGGATGTGGTGGAACGGGAGCTTCGTGCCCTGGATCTGCATCCCACAAATCTCCATCAACTGCAAGATGCTATCCTATCAATATGGGCCAACATTTCTAAACTTGTTGTATTGGATATTTTTTCTCCCTGAATAATAAAAACCTTCATTTAAGAACTGCATTTTGTGTTTACTTGTGTTATCTTTGACTAATACGTAACAGTTTTTGATGATCAGAAACATTTTGTGTGACACACATGCAAAAGAATAAGAAGTTTTTCACACCACTGTATATATACACACACACACACACCACGAAGCGCGAATGCATGGGGGCAGACTGTACTCTCAATTTATAGTCCATCAGAGCCTTTGATGCAGCTATTACACACATACATACATACATATACATACACACATAAATAAAATTGTAATATATATATATATAATTGTATTGAATTATTTTCTTACTGTCCGGGAGCAACTGTACCCACATAATTTCCTCAGGGATCAATAAAGTACGTATTCTGAATCAGAATATGAATCTGAATAAACAATCGGAACAAATGGTTCCGTAATATGTGCTTATTTCTATAGTTTAAATATGACCCCAGTCATGCTCCCAAAACACTTTAATTTCATTTGAAAGTTAGCTTAATACATTACCTTTAAAAAAAACCCAAATGTTTGATGTAAAAATAGAGTACAGTATCACCTAATGAATATTTGTCACACTAGCACATTTACAGTACAGTATACTAATGTTACCCCTACTAATTCATAGAACACGGCATTGGCTGCCGTTTTCTTTTGCATTCACAGTAAGGTAAAATGAGTAAATGAACGGGACTGTAAACTTATTGACAGAAGTCATATCCGTAACTAAGGTACAATTTAATAAAGTACGTAAAGGAAACATGTACATGTATTTTTCGCGGATCTGTGAATTCGCGAATCATGAAGCGCGAGTGCATGGGGGCAGACTGTACTCTCAATTTATAGTCCATCAGAGCCTTTGATGCAGCTATTGTGTCTTTGCTTGAAATTGTGCAAGTCCGCCCTGTTGCTGTCACAGGTTCAACTACTAAAAGCACATCCTGATGATAGATAAATCTATCAGGATGGCATGGGAATGAATAGGATGCAGATGGTCCATGAGGATGTAAAAAGCTCAGTCTCAACTCTCCAGTGCTGGGCATAGTTTCTTCAACACATCCTAGCCACCAATTACAAATATGCATCATATGCAGCCATGACATAACCTTTGCGAAGGCCTTTCGTGGTTCATTGTACAGTCATGACTGTTTTCAGATCAACAGCTGTCAGCTCTCCAATCCCAGCTTAAGTCTAGAAGGGATCCTGTGTTTGCTGTATCTGGGCCTAAGCTATGGAATAAGGTGCAGGTTAGGTCTGCACCCTCAGTAACTGCATTCTACGTTAAAACATTTTTCAAGGGCTTTTACTTAATAGCATGATAAGCCTGCATTGGTATTTATTTGTTCACTTGTACTGGTTTTATTAACTCTTAGCCTGTCCATCTGTTTGTCCTTTTTATCAAAATATATATCAAATTTTACAGCTCTGCTGGGTAACTATGACTATTTTTTTTACTAATTACTTCTGTTCTTGCTTTTGTTCAATGTCAGGGTCAGCCCTTGTCTCACTCTGTGTCCCTTCCCCGTTTGGCCAGCAGGCATTGCTGCTCATCCCGTCCTTCATGTTTGTCTTTGAGTTTCCCCTGATCTGTTGGCCTCATGGCTCAACACCTTGAGCGTCCGGTTGTCTTTGTGCCTTCTGTCCTGTGTTTGAATCCCACCTCCTGTTTTTGTATTTTGCTCCCTAGTGTTTCAGTTGAGTTTGTCTAGTTATTGTATTTGGTGAT